GAAAGAATCAAACTTATTTACAAGCAATAATGAATTCAGAATCAAACCTAAAATGAGTAATAATGACTCCAAATCCAAACCTGATAATGAGCTATAATGACTCTTTCCTTTGTGATTTCCAAGGGTCTAACTAGAAAATTAGTGCCTTAGAAGTAATGCACTGGCAATAAAGAGAACTGTCAAACAAGAGATCATGCTTAGCATAAGAGAGATGTAATGCCTTGATAATGAACCTTCGAAGAAATTAAACCATTTCGCATGAGAGGTCTATTTCTTATGCCTTGAGCGGTAATCTTTTGTTTGATACAACTCTTTATCAAAGAAACAAAGAAAGGTGGGAGGTTGCAAATTATGAAAGAAAAGTCGGTGATTACAATGACATGAATATGTATATGAAAGCTATAAAAAATGAAAGAAAAGACTATCAACTCAAATGGATTGGAAGCTATGGCCTATACACCAAATCCATGAGAACTTATAACAACATAAGTGTAATATTCAAAGCATAAATTAAATAAACACCTAAAACAACCCCTAAACTCCACAACAACAACAACAACAACAAAAAATAGCCCCTAAACTTCCCAAAAAAAAAAAAAAAAAAACAGTGGCCAAAACCAAAAGAAACAAAGTAGAGAAAGGCAAAGCAAAAAACAATGGAACATGGCCTAAGGAAAGGTGGCTAACTCCTCTTTTTGTGACTTTGAATTAAATTTTTAAGATTAAAATAGCTCTAAAATCAACATGAAATGCAAGAAAAAGAGGGAGAAAAGATGGTTAACAAGTTCAAAGATTACCCCTTGAAAGAGAGGAAGAGTTTCCTAGTTAACAAGCCACAAGCTTAACACTCTCTAGCATCTGAAATTGTGTTCAAGAATCTCAGCAAAAGCCTCAAGTTCAAGCTTAGAAGGTGTATGTATAGGGTATGTATATTGCAAGAGAGAAGGGAAGTGTGTTGGACAAGTTATGACTCTTGGCAAAATTTTCTAACCCCAAACCATGAGGAGGGGCCTTGTATTTATAGAAAAACAACATCTCACATCGGAAATATCTGTAAAGAGACAACTGGTGCAAAACATGCACTTGGGAACAGCTAGCTGTTGTAAAATATCTGCTATCGCTAAACATGGTCAGTCGGCCGGTCATGAGGGTGTACGACCGGCCAACAAAAGTGGCCTGCCTGGTTCTGTTGCCATTGAGAGCCGACCGGGTCTAAATGCCCACGATCGTGTCCTATTTTGAAAAGAGGATTTTTTTAAGGGTCTGAAATAGTTTGGTCAAAATGAGGTGTAAGGTTGGGATTAGAGGCTCAAAACTGAATTCTTTTGCTGAAGATTCGAACGTTTGCACAACGTAACATTTCATCATTGAGTGTTTAGAGTGAGGTGCCCAAGTCTTAAGGGCGGTCAAAATGGGATGTCTACACCTATATCTTTTTAGGGGGATGCTCTTTTGATTGTTGCCTACATCCTTAACCGTGTGCCTTCAAAGTCAGTTCCAACAACTCCATATCAATTATGGAAAGGCGCAAAACCAGATTTGGAGCATTTGCGGCCTTGGGGTTGTGCGGGTTTTGTTCATTGTACTTCTCATAAGCATGGGAGCTAGGCCCTAGAGCGAATAAACAAGTGTTTCTTTGATACTCCCAATGTTCAGACGGTGAACACCTTAATAGTGGAATGACTGAAAATGAGTCGCGAGATGTCAATTTCATTGAGAATGAATTTTCTATATTGGTGAAGTAAAAAAAGATCTTGCACTATTTGAGTTGTCGGATTTTCAGAAAATCACACCATCTTTTGCAAGGGTAGAGGATTAGAGACTTATCCTGAAATTGCCAAAGATAGTGGGAGTGATTTACCTTCTAGTGGGAGTGTTCCACTAGAAAATTACTCACCAGGATCCCAGTTACATAGAACTAATATGGAACCATTCCTCGTCATCGTTATGAGATTGAGGGAGAATCTTTCATGTGTACTCTGTTGGATCTTGATGAGTCTGCTTCCTATGAGGAAGCATTAGTTTCACCTAATGCTAATGAGTGGACAGTTGGTATGAAGGATGAAATGAGTTCTATGGCTCAGAACCAAGTTTGGGAGTTGGTTGACCTTCGACTTGGGCACGAGACCATCGGTAACAAATGGGTCTTAAAAATTAAGTGCAAGGCAGATGGGTCAATTGATAAGTACAAAGCCCGTCTCGTGGCAAAGGGCTATACCCAAAGACAAGGTACAGATTATGATGAGACATTCTCCCTGGTGGTGAGATTTGACTCTATTCATCTAATTCTAGCTATTGTCGCTCATTTGGATTTGGGACTTTTCCAAATGGATGTTAAGACTGCATTTCTCAATGGAGAACTAGATGAGGAGATCTATATGGATTAACTAGTAGGCTTTGAGGTCAATGGACAATAGCACAAAGTATGTTGCCTCAAACATTCAATTTATGGCAGCAATCATCTAGACAATGGTATTTTAAATTTTATAAAGCCATTGTTTTAACTAGGTTTGAGATGATGGAGGAAGACCATTGTGTGTATATCAAATAATCAGGAAAGAGTTTTCTTATTCTATCACTGTATGTTGACGACATTTTGTTAGCTGGAAATGAAATGGGGATGATTGTTGCTACGCACGAATGGTTGTCCTCTACTTTTGAAATGAAGGACATGGGAGAGGCAAATTATGTGCTCGGAGTTAAGATCCCGAGAGATCGCTCTAAGAAGCTTCTTGGTTTGTCTCAAGAGACTTACATTAAGAGGATCTTGGAACAGTTTCGTATATACTATTCCAAACCCATTGACACTCCAATTGAGAAATGGACGTAATTTGAGCATTAACTCTTGTCCTAAGACAGATGAGGAAAAGAAACAAATGGCAAAAGTTTCCTATGCGAGTGCAGTTGGTAGTCTGATGTACACTATGATGTGTACTTGACCAAACATATGTTTTGCAGTGGAATTGGTCAGTTGTTACCAGAATAACCTAGGACTTGTTCACAAGCAAGAAGTGAAGAGGATTTTTCGCTATATTTGTGGGACGATGGATCTCATTCTTTGCTATTAGCGTGGAGATTTGAGACTACAGGGATACAATGACGCAGATTGGGCTCCTAATAAAGATAAGCGCAAGTCTACCACTAGTTATTCATTCCTACTTAGTTGAGGAGCTATTTCTTGGTGTAGTAAGAAGCAATCATGCATTTCTTTGTTCACGATAGAGTCAGAGGACGTTTCTTGTTCAGCAGTAGTACAAGAGGCTGTTTGGTTGAGGAGATTCCTTCAGCGCCTTGGGATCACAACTTTTGCAAATGAAGCCGTTATGATCTATGTTGATAGTATGATAGTTTTGGCATATTATAAGGATCCCAAGTATCATGGTAGAACCAAACACATTGACATTCGATTTCAATTTATTCGAGATGTGGTTGCACGAGGGGAGGTAGTCCTACAACATGTATCTATTAGCAGGATGGTGGCTGATCCATTTACTAAAGCCATTGCTAGAGATGTTTTCCAAACTCATGTTAGGAGTTTAGGACTTCATATTAATTGATGTTTTTGTGGATATCTCGTTGACTTTGTTAGATATTTTTGAGTATCTTATGCATAATTATTTATTCATGTTATGCATAATTATTTATTCATGTGATTTTATGGCGCAATTGATACTATTAGCACACATTGTATATGATGTCACTAGGCTTAGATCAACCTTCTCACATTGGCGATCACCCTGGGGCTTGTAAAGCGAGTGGGATGAGACATTAATTATCTTGGCGAGCAAGGTAAATCTTTTGTAACTTCAGAAGTGAACAGAATTGATTTATTATTAGAAGATGTCGCTTTAGCATTGGCTAAGATGAGACTTTAAAAAATTCAAACATGAAGTTATCCACAGCTTTATGAAGGCTGAATATAACCGAATGTAAGGTCTTAGATAAATGTTTGATGAGCGAATATGCTAAGAAACTCAGGTTAGGTGCTTGTATAGTGACTAGACTAAGATTCGTATGGCATTAGAGAGTGACAGACCTAATTTAGTAGGAGCTCCGTTGTAGCGTACATATCATACAATATGTGCTACCATCAACCACTTAAGAGAGTGGCTAGATGGATTCTTACTCTAGCACTGTGTGAGACCTATTAGGCCAATAGTAGGCCTACTCCATACCCTTGAACCTGGAACTATGTCATGAAGTGATTACTTGATGTTGCTACTTTAGCATGTCATCCAAGAGTCATGATATATACGATCCAGAGGACTATGTCTAGGAAAGCGGTCAAGTTTGAGTGAATTACATGAGTGGCTAGGGAAGATTGTTGGAAATCATACTCTTGTATTGTAGCTCATTGTCGTGGTGATTGTGTTGGATTTGAGATCATGATATAATTATGAGTATAGATACATTGTTGAGATCAAACATGTTTATGAGCTATGACTTGCAAGGGATTTTTTAAATGTTTGATCTGGTATGATCCAATGAATCTGGGGTGTAGACGAGATATTTTGAGTGATGTGTTATATTAGTTTATGGTAACTTAATATAGAACTCCTACCTTATACCTTCTCATCATTTCGCATGCTCCATTTTCCGTATGAAGGGTGGATTGAATGAAAGATTGAGAAATGATGATTGTGCATATAACACATGATGTGGATGAATGAGAGATGTTAGAAACCATGTGGTAAATACACATGGTGTGACGTCATGGTATACATGGTGTGGCCTAATCTTGAAGGCTACATGGTACACATAGTCCATCTATCACAAGGAACATATGGTTTTGGACATGTGATACACATGGTGTGGCCTAACCATGAGGCACACATAGTTTGCCATAAATGCTTATATAAAGACTCATGCTCAACATTGTGTGGACACCAAAAACAATAAGTTCTCTCTTACCATCTTGGAAGTCTAGGAATTTGGAGTGTGGATAAATATTGAGAATCTCTAGTAGCTTCTGAATTGATGGAGGGTTTTTCAGACGAGACTTATAATTCAAGCATCTGATCCAAATCATTTCCACATTAAGTAATATGATTACCCGTATATTTTTCCTTCAGTTTAAAAAAAAATAAAAAAATGAAAAAGAAATACAGAAAGTATATAATGACAGATAGACAGAGACATAGAGAGATCATCTAAAAAAATGAAACATTACCAGAAAATTATCCAAATGAAATCTCCACAATTAATCCACCCCCCTCAATGTGTCCACCACCCCCTACCTACACCCCCCAGTTACTAATTTAAAAAATGTGTATATTCATTCTCATTCCTCTACCCACAACAAATAAAATGAATTATTCTCATTGACTGGAAGCTTTTCATGAATTATGTTCTCTCTCTGTGTCTCTGATCATGAATGAGGCATCAAGAGTTTAGTGAATGAGGTATGTCAGCACCAAAGCCAACAGCATTAGTGCATATGCTATCCCTTGGTCTATCGCTGTTCCTGCATGTTTATCACATTCCAAATCCATCCCAATAATTAGTCACCATCATAAATGTTCAAAGATATATGTTTTATGCAAGTAACTCATATACATTGAGAAAACAAGATGTTGTAGTGAGGCTCGATACACCCTTAACAGGACAAGAACGATGGCTGAGCATTGAGCGAGCCATCAAAACAAAACATTCAACACAATTCAAAGGCCTAACACTAAAATAAAATCTCTCAAAGTCCAAGAGCTAGGCTAAAACAACAAAACAACATGCAAAACTAGAAGAGAATACCAACTATTTCATATAAGTCTTCCAACTAGATTTCTTGGACTTAATAGAAAGGTTAGATATATATATATATATATATAATTCATACATAAAATTCTACAAAAATGACGTTTCAGTGTCATTATTATAAATAAACTCACATCTATGATTATTTTCTTTAAAAGTTAATGGTCCTTATCAAGCCAGATCATTCTATATAAAAATTATATATAAATATTCTATTTGTTTATCAATATTCATGTTCAAATGTTAGATAATCAAGTTTAGGTATTAACATGGCATGTTATAAATTATATGTTTGAAAAAATCCCACTTTTTAAAAGATTTTTTTAAATGCAATTATACATATGGTTATGGCCATTAGATAATATGATTGATGTAATGTAAGATGACTTGCATTGTACTCTAAATATGACCATTATAATATATTTAAAAATATAAATATATATTTGTTTTTTTTTTAGAGTGCTTAATAAGCTAAATAAAAATGAATCTAAATCCTCTAAAATTAAATTGTGCTAGAGTTTTATAAAGTAAATTGTTAATTGGTTCACATAACAGTTTTGACAATGATTCAATGTAAGCATCTATACTTGTGTATTTCTTTTCTTGATTAAAATCTCACCCTTATCATGTCCAATCAAAATTTTATTTATGACTAATTGCCTAAATTTATGATATAATAGCTGGACCCAGCAAAAATTACTTCAAGTTGGTTGTTGAGGAAAATTATATAATAGTACCGGAATACTACCTAGTTATACTCTCTTACTAATTATTATTTATTATGTTTTCATAATTTTCAGTTACCAACATAAATAATTAATACCATAGATTACTATGTGACCAGACTCCCGAATTATCGAATAATTATTTGGTTATTGAATATGTCAAGGGGAAAAAAGAAATAAAAAAGGAACAGTTAATTTTGTATTCTTTATGCTTGAACAATTTCATAATTTTATTATATTTACCTTTAAAAAATATAATTTACTTTTAAAATTATAACTTTTTTTTTATATTTTATCTTAAATACGATGAATTCATACAAGCTAAAAATGTAATGAAACATATTGTTAAAGTGTAACTTGTGATCCACCGATCCAAACCCAGACACTGGAGAATTGGAGACAACCAAATATGGCCAAAACAAAATGAATTTTGAAAGAAATTAAATTTTACTTCTTGTCGAATTACTAATCAAGTTGAAGAGAAAAAAAAATTATTAAATATATGAAAATTGACAAGTCATTTTTTTTTTTTTTTAAATTCCAACTTTCTTGGTAATCAAACAAGAGAGAGAGAGAGAGAGAGAGAGAGAGAGTAACCATCGCTGGTGGGAGCGGGAGCCGGAGATGCAGAATGAGCCAGAGCAGCGGGACAAAAGATGGCGAAGATGAGAGTCATCATTGCAACCATCACCATTGAAGCCCTCGTTACCTCCATTTCTCTCTCTCTCTCTCTCTCTCTCTCTCTCTGTATATATATATATAAATCTTTTTTTTTTCCCTCTGCGACGCAATCCGCCGCAGAGTTTGTTATAGAAAGAGAAAGTAGAGAAAGAAACCCTTTTGATTGTGTAAGATTGTGGACAGGCGGTAGAATTATGTGGAGGTCTATATATAACGATGGCTGGAGAGTGGGAATGAATGGGGTGGTGGTAGAGAGAGGAGAACGGGGACTCCACCAAATATAACGGTTGTCTTCTTTATGTGGGGTCCATCCGTATATGCTTTTGAACGCATCCACACAAACAGATTTCACTAAAAAAATTAGTTTTATGCTTGAGAATCTAAATAAATTATTAAATTTTTTAAATGGGTATAAAATTCACACAAGTTATATGCATGTGATTTCACATTTATATAAAAAGTTTGATAATTTATTTAATAATTTATTTAAGATCTATAATATTTTTCAAAACATTATTTGTTTATCTTGTGCCGTAAATTAATCACAAATTAATCACAATTTTTTACGTCTTCTTATATTTTTTAATTATTTAATATGAAATTATAAACCTTATTTTCTTTATCAACTATAACATATGTGAAGCATTATATAATATTGTCCCCAAATCAGCTAATAACATATCGACCCACCACCACCACCCTCCATGTGACGGTCCTTTTCCTCTTTTTTTTTTTTTTTTTTCCTTTTTCCTTTTTCTTTTTTCGTTTTTCCTTTTTCTTTTTTGCGTGTGTTTTGCTTTGTTGGCGGCCAACTTGGCTCTCTATCTTTGTTATTATTTTCTCAGCTGTTGCCAACTCATATTCCTCTAATTTTGAGTCATCCTTCATTAGGAGGGGTATATGGTCCCATTTGGAAATATGTTATTTATTTTAGTTATTTTTTTAACAAGTAATGTTAAAAATTTTAAATATTTTATTAATATTTTTACTAAATATCTCACATGAGTGTAGGATCCATATAAAACTCATATAATGTGGGTCCCACACTTATATGAAACATTTGATAAAAAAATAAATAAAACATTTAGGATCTCTAACATTTTTTTAACCCATTTCAAACATTCTTGTGCCTTCTTTTTGAGTAAATCATTTTATATTTTGTTAAATTTTATAGTCTGAAGACATTGATTAATAAATCATATATATATGATTTAAAGATCATTTTCATAAATATTTTTATGAACTCATGAGTATTATTTCACATTAAATTTTTTCAAATGAATCAGAATCACATTTTGAAACGTAATAAGACAGTAGTGTATATATTAGAACTAGCAACAAACCCGTGTTACTCACGAAATGATTTTTTTTTAAATGTAAAATATTATAAATAAAGATACTTCATTGTATTTATTTGAACTCTATAAAGTAACTTCTATTAAAACAAAAAAAAAAAAAAAACTCAATAATTTTAAACTAATTATTTAAATTTAATTGATAAAAGCATGTCAAATTTCATTAGACTTATATTTTACATTGGTTAGGTGAATTGTTTACTCAGATTGAGTTGAACTACATAGAAAGATTATATTTCAAGCCAATCCTAACACAGCATCAGGATTAATATAGGCATCATAAACCCAACCCTAAAAAGATTTCTAACTATGGAGGAGTACCACTTTGTTCTCTAAACTATAAAACTACTCAAAATGGACACTCTAAACTATTGATGTATATTTCACTTTGAGATTTTCCGTTATGGGGTCCAACTGATACGATTTTATAATTTATGAGGTCCATTTGTGCAATTTTATAGTTTAGGGGACAAAGTAATATTTCTCAATATATAGTTTATGAGTCAAAGTGATAGTTCTCAATATTTTGGGGGGTCTTCATGCAAATAACTCTAATCGGATATGCACCTAAAATGTAAAATTTGTAAAAAAAAAAAAATAAAAAACTAAAAATGAAGATGTCAAAAATAAAAACAAAAAAATGACACATTTTTTGTAGTGTTTTGTTTTTAGTAATTTATTTATTTATTTGTTCATAAATATCGTAGTTTAGTGTATTTGACTAAAATATGGAAAAAAAAAATATTGAAGATTCAAAAAAACAAAAATAAAAATTGAAAAATAATTTAAAAAAATTAAATCAAACAAATTTGATGCATTTTTAATAAAATAATTAATTAATTTAAAATAATTTTTGGTACATATGTACTTTCTGTGTGAGAATTTAAAATACAATTTTAAAAATCTTTCCATATCGTTTTTCTTAAATTATGTTATCATAATTGCAATGTAACATTATTTGAAAATAATTCCTTTTGTAATATTTGCAAATAATAATTAATTTGAAAAAGAGAAAATTGGTGATAAATTCAATTTAGAGGGTGTCTAAGGGATTAGGTCTAGTGTATTTTTTTTTTTTTATCGGTGAAAGATCCACCATTTGTAAAATAGTTTGATGAGAGGGCTTTTTACTTGTTTTAAAAGACATTGCGTTTCCAATTTTACCCATTAATTTATTTGTTGACTTTTTTTTGACTATCTGTCCAAATTATTTTCTATCTGTTCAAAATTTTTTATATTCAAATTTTTTTCCGTATAAATTTTTTATCTGTCCAAATTTTATCTATTCAATATTTTTATATCTATATAATGTTTTCCTTTATTGTTCAAATACCTATCCAAATTACATTATTTGTTCAATTTTTTCACTTGTTAGATCATCACCAAGCCAAATTTGTTTATGTTCAAAATTCTTTTTAATTTCTTAAAATAACAATTCAACAAGTAGTCACAGATTATCACTAGCTTAAATCAACAACAACACAACAGATAGATCAATAACAACACAATAGATAGATCAACAATAAGAACCAACTCAAAGTTTTCTCTCTCTCTCTCTCTCTCTCTCTCTCTCTCTCACACACACACACATATACACACATACACACAGATAAATAGATGCACTGATATATCGAAAAGATTAGACAAAAAACACAAATAGATCAACAAAGACAGATAAATCTTGAATCTGAGGATTTCATCATAAGCTTGGCTTGAAGCGATAACAATTCGATAAATGGTAGATTGTACATTGGATAGCATGACGATGATGATCCAGATTGAGATATGGATTTGGAAGCAACAGATTTGGATCTCACAGTGGTTCTGGTAGAGAGAAAAGATGAGGTGAAGATATCCGGCAATGGAAGCGACGGAGTGGCCGTAGTTTGGTGTGGTTACAGAGGAGGAGACTAGGTGTAGACACCCTATTTTTGATCGCCCTTAAGACTTGGGCTCCTCACCTTGCACACTCGATGATGAATTGTTACACTGTACAATCATTCGATTTCTTCAGCAAAAAAGCTTCGGTTTTTGAGCTTTAGAACCTAAACCTTACACCACTTTTAGACCAAAGCCTAATTTTTTTTAGCCTGACCACTCAGAGACTTGCTAGCCAACAAGTGGCCGGCAGGCCATTTTTGGTTGGTCGGTCCTCCCCCTTCATGGACGGCCCGGCTATGTTTAGTGACTAACATATATTTTTTACCACCAACTATCCCCATGTGCATGCCTTGCACTAGTTGGCTCATTACAGATATTTCCAACGTGAGGACCTGTTTTTTTATAAATACATGACATCCCCTCATGGTTTGGGGTTAGAAAATTTTGCTAAGAGCCAAAGACTTGCCAAACACACTACCTTTCTCTCTTGCAATATATATACACTTCCTAAGCCAAAAATTGAGGCCTTTTGTTGAGATTCTTGAACCCAAATTTCAGCTCTTGAGAGTGTTCAACTTGTGGTTTGTGAACTAAAGAGTATCATCTCTTTGAAAGAAGTATACTTTGAGCTTTTAAGCCATATTTTCTATCACTTTTCTTTGTTTTTTCATACTATTTTTCAGAGTTTATTTTAGCTAAAAAATGTGATTTTAAGTCACAAAAAAGAGGAGGGGTTACCATTCCTTAGGCTTTTTGATGGTTTGAAACCCCTTAGCTTTAGCCTATTTTTGCTCACTTTTTTCACTTCAAAAACTCAATTTTCAGTACTGTTTTTTGTGCTGTGTCAGTGTTGTTTTGTGTGTCAAATTATGCTTTGAATATTGTAGATGTGTTGTTGTAAGTCCTCATAGATATAGCTTTCAATCCATTTGAGTTGATAGCCTTTTCTTGCACTTTTTTTTGTTTTGTTTTTATAGCTTTCATGCATGTTATACTATTGTAATTACTTTTGCATAATCATCTCTGCAACCTCCCTCCATTATTTGCTTATTTTGATTAAAGAGTTATATTTAACAAAAGATTGTTGTTCAAGCATAAGAAAGAGACCTTTCATGCTTAATGGTTTAATCTCTTCAGAGGTTTATTACCAATGCATTACATTTCTCTTATGTTGCACACAACCTCTTGTTTGACATTTCTCTTTATCACCGGTGCATTACTTCTAAGGGACTAACTTTCTAGTTAAACCCTTAGAAATCACCAAGGAAAGTGTCATTATAGCTTATTATCAAGTTTGGATTTAAAGTCATTATCACTCATTTTGGGTTTGATTAGTCATTATCGCTCTCTTTGAGTTTGACTAGCCATTATCGCTCATTTTGGGTTTGACTTAGAATTCATTATCGTTTGTAAATGAGTTTGAGTCTTCCTTTGTAATTTTCCCCATAGAAAAAGGGCTTGCAATGCTCATTTCTCAGGTTAAGTCAATGCTTTTTATTCTTTATTGCTTTTGGACTTAGTGGACGTAATTATCACTTTTGGACAAAAATGAATAAACGATAAGAAATGGAAAGGTAATGTAAAAAGGGCTAATAAAAAGAGGTAAGAAAAAGATAATAAAATTGAGTTGGGTTCAATCGGACGTTATATTGAACCTATTGCTTCTTGACTCATTGCATACTCTTTAGTGATGTTCAATGATTCAAAAAGCAATGCCTACTCCCTCTCTTGAGATAACTCCATGATAGGAAGGAGATGTTGTTGGTCTTTCATTTCCTTTTATTGAGCTTTCATTCTATCGGTTCTAAGATCCTCACGCAACAAACTTGTGACAATTGATGATTTGTGAACCGAATCTACTCTTCCCTTGATCATCTTCATGATAGGGAAGAGCAGAGAGAATAAACATCTCCTGGAAACACTCTGCTTTTGCTCTGTGGCAGTAGGAAAATTCCCAGAAAATAGTGGCAGGCCGGCCACCATTCTGTCCAGC